AGTCGAAGGGGGCGTCATCTTGAGGAGCGCCGGAGTCCCGTAGAGAGCCCAAGACATTCAGAGAAGCCGGTACAGTCCACTCCTTGCGACTTTCCTTTTAAATCTCGACGCGTTCTCGGACGACCCAAGTGTTCAGTCATTTGCAGAACTTAGACATCTTGAGGTTTGAGGTGCGTGGCAGCCTGGACACAGCACGAAGACGCGGAGGACCGGGAAACGTGGAAGAACCTTGCAGCCACACATAAACAGGAAGGTCAGCTATGTGCTTTGCAGAGTTGTTGAAGAGGTAATTGTGCACACAAGTTGTCCTGTTGTACATTCTGTACGGAGAGGGTCTATCCCTGTTTCAAGTGTCTCCTGTGTTGCATTAGTGTGTCTTTTCGTTTTGGGGCAGTTCGCATATTCCCTGAGACTTACCTGGCGTTCAACGAATGCCCCGTAGCGGCTCCAGGTCAGAAGATGCATTCCCCAAACAGTTTGAGCACAACTCCACTGTCAAAGGAAGCGCCTCATCATTTCTAGGGCCTCTCCTCTGCAGAGCTCTTTGATAAAAGGGGAGCCATATAAAGTTGGATTGGTAGCTTTGAACACTAGCCCCTGAAGCTACAGCTCTAGTTTTGCCTACAGCTCTTGTGCGAGTGCTTGTAACGTCTAACCCAGCTCCGGAGGAAGACTGTTGTCTGTCAGCCTTGCGCTAGGGCTGCGGCTTCGGAGTGGGGGGGGCGGGGGGGAGGGCACTGGATAGGAAGACGCGCATAGCCTTGCTCTCTATCTCGATGCGAGAGACAGACACCCTTTCCCAGCAACACAAGGCAGAGGACATTCGAGGGTTAACAATATCCCAATCCCGACGGCCGGAGGATTGCGCCATGGATTCAAGCCTCTCCTGCGGCGCACCAGCGATGAACAGCAGCCGGAGACCAAGTCGAGTGGGACCGCCACTTATCACTGTGATGTTGCCCACTTGTGACGCGCGACCCGGACAGAATGGAGCACTTCCCAGCTTCAGTGGGGTTCATCTTTCTGGACCAGAACATGTGTAGCAACATGTCACTGGGAATGTTCGTCAGTTCATCAACGACGTCCAGGAATCGCCAGGAAAGTGTGTTGGGCCAAAGCTCCTGTGGTTGGCTACCTGACATCTACAACATGTGAACCCTCGAGCTAGCTTTAGCAAGTGCATGTATGTCAGCAAATTGTAGCTGGTTCCGAGGTGCTAGCCGCATGACTCGAGCTACAGCCCAGCAGAGTTCCTCCAAAATCCGTCCTACAATCCAGATGACTGTAAATTCTGAAGCGGAGTTCCACCATATCTGCCCGACACCTGCGTCATCTTTGAGACAAACTCGACACCCGCAGTTCCACCTCTTGAAAACATCTAAGCAATCTGAAAATGCGTGAAAGGCTTGATTTGCCAATGCACGGCGTCAAAGCTGAACATCTTCCCGTGAAGCAGCTTGCCAACATATGGTCAGAAAGTGCATACATGCACACATACAGCATAGATTGTCGCAAGTACTGAGTAGGCATTAGCTGACAAGTGTCTCGATTTTATTGTAGTGATGGTCTTGTGTTTGCTATAAAGGCTTTCTTGCATGTGCATTCGCTGCTGCAACGATCGACGGCGTTCGTACATGGTCGCATGTTAGTGCTCTTTCCTGCAGTCGCGACAAGTTGCCACACTGTTAGCACACAAACACACATCATGCAGGTCATGCGGGTATGGATGGATGCATGGATGGATGAATGGATGTATGTATGTCTGCATGTATGTCTGTATGTATGTATGTATGCATGTATGCATGTATGCATGTATGTATGTACATGTATAGAATCGTCCCACCCACCCACCCACCCACCCACGCGTATATATGTATGCACGTAGGTACATACATACAAGCATACATACAGACAGACATACCGTACATGCCGGCGTATGTATACCCAAGTTGTATAGGCGCACATGGAAGCATGCGTACATATACACATGCGCATACACATATACATATGTACATGTTCGCATGCATGTACATACACATCACATATGCATGCGCGTATACGTGTACATGTACATGTACACACACAAACATATATGTATATATACGTATATTGTATTTGTGTATTTATTTTTATTTATCTATTTATTTATTATTTTTTACACATACATATATATACAGCTATATATATATATTATGTATGTATATGTGTACATATATATATATATGTATGGTCGTGTATAAGCACACAGATGTTGTGTTTGTGTGTGAGTGCACTACAGGGCTCCTTAGGAGTATGTATTGAGGAAGACCTTGTGTGGGTACAAGCAGAAGCACAGGTAATAAAACTGATATCGCCTCTATAGACCTCTTAGACTTGACATCGATCACTACATGTTCCTCTATGCTAGCCTCTATCAAGTTGTGACCTCATGACTGCATTCGGTCGTTACATTCATTTCAGACGACGTGGCTTGCTGTCGCGTCTGAATGCTTGCCGTCGCGTCTGAATGCTTGGGTGCAGGCCTCACGTCAAGCTGTCATTTAGCCTCAATCCCCAGACACGACGCTCATGGGTCAGTGACCCCAAATCACAAACACTCGATGTTGCACGGTATCTAACTGGCACCGTGTTCCCCGCATGCCAAGTTTCGAGGTTTCACCTCCTGTTATGGCTTGAATCTTGTTTCCTCAGTCTTGCTTCCCGCAAAAACATGCCTTCCTAGGTCGCCCAAGGCAAGCCGTGCGCCACAGCGATCAAGAAGCCTTTTGGGACTGCGATTCTTTTGGCCGAAGCACAAGGCTTTCGGCAAAACAGCAGGCTTCCGATGTTTAGATTTGCTGTTTGCAAAGACGGCAATCCGCTCGCCGCGGAAAGCTGCAGGATTCGATGACTATGCCCCAGGGTGAGATGCCCAACAAGGCAGTCCCGAATATCCTGGTGACTGGTGACTAGATTTGGAAATTCTACTCAATTTAATGCCGCCGAGGCCTGTAACCTCAAACCCCACCGAAACATCATGATTTTGCATTTGTGGTGTGTAAGGTCCTTCACCCCCTTCCTCCCAGCATCCTGTCATCTTGAAAATCTGAAGCTGCAAACTGGTGTTACCATCCTGGGGCCGTTTTCCACACGAGCCCGGCGCAATGCAGCCAGCATCCAACGGATGTCTGGTGACATGCCGGGCTTTATAATTTAAAGCATTTGGGTGCCGTTTCTGGGCTTCAGTCTACGGAAAGGCCTTCTATGGCTTGTTTCGGTGTAGATGTCTTCCCTGCCTCCGGTCCCTCCGGTCCCTTGGTTGACTCCTGGGCTTCCGCCAGCGCCATCAAAGCTCGCTTCCATAAAGCCGCATCAGCTCACTATGTCGATGACCATTCCTGCCCTGCTCCGGCAGGCGCATGTGTCGAAGTTGTAGCATGATGGGAACTGTGATGTGAACTTATACAGATAAAGGCCCACGGATTGACAGCGGGGTGCAGCTGGCACCCCCAAAACTTCGCCCGCACAACTATTTGTTTTCCACTGCCATGCTATCTGGCCGGGCATGTTGTCGTACTCGCCCTTCCCGATGACAACGATGTCTATCAGCGAGTCCTTGCTCGCGATTAGAAGCCATGGTCCCAACGGTCGATACACCAAGTGTGCTCCCCAAACACACCCCATAGATTACAGTCGAACCCCGCCCGAGCACATACGAGCCCTCCAGCTTGGATGCATGTTCAACGACTGAAGCTGCGATGCTGTCACCAAATTCGGTTTTTTGTCGGCGAATGCCGCGGGATACTGCGCGATTCGGAACGTCCACAGGCCTTGCGACGCTGCACCTGAGTCCCCGAAGAAAGCCTGCGCTGTGCCATATGCAGGGAAGTTTGTACCTTGGTCTACGGTGGCGTTTCGGTTTCTTCTGAGCAGCATCTGCAACTCGTGGCATGTGCAGGTAGGTTTGTAAAATTTCCGGTAACCTTAACTTTCAAGTCGAAGGATTGCTTCAAGACAGGGAACATGCTTGCATTGTTGTAGCCATGACGGATCAGCCTATGCAGCAGCCACAAACTTGAGTCTGAGCATTTGGGGTTTGGGAGTTCTCAGGAGATCTGCAAAACTACGGATTGCAGAATCTGCACGAGTGTGTTCTCGGAAGCATGGACCCTCTCTCAAGATAACCCCCTTATATCCTCGGAGTAAGTCGGCATTGATTCAATAAAAAAGTCTTGCCCGACCTGCGCCTAACAACGACGGTGCAGGCCTTCATCCCGATGTGGTGCCTTGTTTTTCTAGGTCAACAAGTTCGCTGGCTGAATCAAACCTGGTTTTCCGATTCGCGCTCTCCCCCCGAAGTTTGCTGTGCAGTCGGCTCCTGTTTCCGTGATGTTCAAGAACTTGTTTGCGCCTTGACGCTCTTACCCTACTGACCTCAAAGCTCCGGACCTGAATCGGGGGAAATGTGGAAGTAGTCACGGAAATGGCATCTCTCCGCACTTGAGACAGCAGAGGCATGAGAGCCTGTGTCACAATCCAACTGCAAGCAAGCTGGCCAGACAGGCTGGCCAGAATCCAGACCTTCGCCGATTGCGAGACTGGAAAAGCAGCTGTTCCTGTTGAAGACCAAGTTTTGACTAGCTTGCTGTGTTTACCCAGGACTTTGGAGGGCAGTCGGCTTGTGTGGCTCATGGGTGCGTTTGGCCCACTACCCCCTTTGCGATTCACATTTCCATTCGCTCTGTCGTGTTGGCCTTTTGAGGCACTGAGGGCGGGGTAAGGTGTCCTCTGCTTCTGTCGCAGAAGATCTTTTGAGGCAGTGTCTGCTCAAGCTTTGTATTCTAGCCTCGAAGCCGGGATGTCCTGCAACTTTGCTGGGAAGCGGAAGCTGCACAGATGTGCAGAGACATGAAAGAAGCCCGCTTATTTGAGAGGCCCGGCATCAAACCAAAAGGTTCCCCTTGGCTCTAGAAAAAGCACCGAGACGTCATAAAATATCGCTGACGGTATGCCCTGGCCAGGCTGCCGCGACGCCTGCCCAGGTCGCGCAGTGGGCTTCGGGCTTTCGGCTCTCTAAAGAATTAAAATACAAGCATTCCAGGGCATTCCAGAGCAGAGGCTCTGGCCCTGTAGGCTTGGCGGGGCGGGAGTGGGAGCAGTGGGTCGTAGTGAACGAGGCTTGCGAACCGCCTGGCATGGAAGGGCTTTGAGCTGTCAGGACAGAGTTACCACGTTGTGAGAGGACTGCAGCGCACGTCAAGCGCAAACCTCAATACAGGCTGCGAAGATTGCGAAAGCGCAAAATGCGGCACTGGGTGGAAGTGGCAACTTGGGCGCATAATGGCAATTTGTCAATCGGGTGCAGGGCCTTCTGGCAGGATGAGACAGAGTGCATGGGTGCGCATTTACTACAAAGTTTCGAGTGCATGGCTCTGACAGTGGGGCGGAGCAGTAGTTCGGTGAAGGGGAGAGTTTCCTTCTGCGTCCTTTTCGCGAAACGGCACTGTACATGCTCTCATGTGTCACTTCGCTTCCACAGCAGCTATGGTGTTCCGGTTTCGCAAGCGGTGAGCCCGTACAGTATCCATGTTCGCCAAGAGCTACGCACTTTTTTCTTCGAAAGCCTCCTCTCTCAGTGCTTCGCGCTGGCATTGCTCCTGCGAGGTGTCCGGCACTTGCTTACCGTGTGCCTCAGATGCACGGTTCGAGAGGCGTGGAGGCAGAGTTTGGGTTAAGTGACGTGAGGGTGTAGACTTTCGAGCTTTGCCTGCTTGCTCAATGATATGCGAAAGTCCATTACCTCACCCTTTCCGCAAGCTCGCTTGGATTCGAGCAAACAGTCAAGGTACAGGGATCTGTTATGGCCACCTCTTCGTAAAGGTACTGTGGGGGGGGGGGGTTACTGTGAGTGGTACCTATTCCCGGGGCCTATTTCGGGAGAGTGGAGGGGTGGGGATAAAAATGGGTACCGGGGGATACGGGGACAGTGTTTCGTGGCATGCATTCGGTGTGGATCCGTGGCCGTCGGCTCTGAGGTAGCTGGTTCATGGCTTTTGCCCACACCATTGTAATAGGTACCGGTACCTATTTCCGACCCCCCCCCATGCTCAACCACACCCCGAAGGGGGTAGCCATGATCTGTTACAGCCCACGCAAGTGACGCGACGCGCTGAATCGAAAAGCTAGCTGAACAAAGCAACTCGACTTCCGTGGCTGCTCGTGCTCGACTCGTTGAAATTCAGCTGTCTGGCAAACAACGTCAGTAGACGAGTGACACACATGTGTAGCCTTCTCGCACAGACCGTCAGATTGTGAGGATCGTTTGTGTGCGCTGCGCGCCGTGAGTTTTCATGGGTTGTGTTCAATAGCACTGAGCACGAAGCTCGAAAGATGATCGATCCAAGGTGCAGCATCTGCGGCAGTGGTGGTAAGGGAATCTTGGGCCCGCGGTTTCGGTGCATTCACTGCCCGAACTTTAGTGTTTGCCAGGGCCTCGGGACCTTGGGCATTTACCTTGCCTTACCAAGCAGATGCTGCCAATACCACGACCTATCGTGAATTTGTCAGCGCACAGTCTAGCAAAAGACGTTGTGGAGCCTCAACAGGCACGCGTGCACTTCAGGTGCACAGGCGCCAGGTTCAGAGCTAGGGATTCTACGGCAAGCGTACGAGCTCCGAATACAGGACTCCAGGGCTGCAAATAGTACTGCACGACGCAAATTACACTCTCTTGTAGCTGTGATTCGAGCGGATGACTCTGTTAGTCCGAGCCCATGTACAGCACCTTGGATTCGGTAAAACCTGGCTGTAGTTTTCGGTGGGTTTTGAAAAGGAGGATCAATGCCCCTGATCGACCCGGCGCAAGCTACCCTTCATCCGAACCCAGAACCGAGGGTGAGAGTAGTAAGAGTAATCGGCATCAAAAATCGGCCTATTGGCTATTTCGGTGCGCATGTCAGGCTTGAAATTGTAGCTTCGAGTAACAGTCAGAGTGAGAGTTTGTATTCGACTTCTGCTGTGCAAGGTCAAAAGTGTGAGCCAAAGCTGGCATCGCAGCATCCGGAAGGCGCGTGCATTGGTACCATTTTACGATTCCCCTCCGGCAAGCACACATGTACAAGCCTGAAGAATGTATCCGGTCGCGTCAGAGAATCCGCTGCTTCCTTTCTATCCATGAGAAAGAAACTGAGACCCTGTTTGCCTCGTGCATACAGGTGCGAACAGGCAGATTCTGTCCCGATCATCCTTGGTGTTCTGCTGCGAGATTGCAGAGACTGAGTATCGCTGGTCATAGTTCAAGCAGCGTCAGGAAAATCACAGACGTTGCTGCAGGATGTTGACATTGCGGTCTTGGGGCCTCGCGAAGTGCATGGTAACACTGAGCCTCAAGCTTTACCCATAGACTCTAAAAGGTCATGTTTTCCAGATCATGTTCGAAGACGACCTGGACTGGGAGAGGCACCGTGGGGCTTGACACCTTCATGACCGGAGTTGCTGTTATTCACCAGCCCGCCTGCCAGGTACTTTCTTCTTGGATCGTGTCGTAAGCTTCTTAGCACTCAACCTGGACCATGAGAAGCCCAAAGAAGAACATCTTCGCTGGGAATTGTTCTAGATGGCTCCTGAACCCGCACGTCTGGCACCTTACCTCCAAGAGAGGCCAAAGTCAGAGCAGTCATGAAGTGTCCAAACTCAGAGTATTAGGGTCAAGGTCCACGATCTCGTGTGTCGGGATCTTGCCCGTCTTGGGGGGCTTGCCGGGTTCAGGGTCACTGCTGGTGCAGGGTTCAGACGCCCTTTCCGCGCGGAGTTCGGGCACGACTTCGCGGCAATGCAGAGGCCGAAGGGATGGAGAAAGCCGAGGCTCTAGTAAGTTTAAGCACCAAGTTCAAAGGAGCCATTACTTCGACTTGTTGAAGGTTTTGATCTGAGGATGGCGTCAGGCCTACACCACTTTCGGGATCTCACTTAAAGACTGGCTTCTGAGAAGTGGGACTCACAATTGAGGGCGCAGACATACAGCTGCCTCCCCCTCTGGCAAAAGCATCGTGGGCTTGCGTGGCCTGGTAGCATTCTTGCAAAAATCAGTATTCATTGGGGCGTGAACTCCGAAGCCCACGCTTCCAAGTGCCAGGCCTGCGCGATCCCATAAAGGGGAATGCATCTGCCTCGTCCCGTAGTTTCCTCGGACGAGGTTGCGACGACCGGCGGTGCAACTGCAGGCGCAAGCTAAGAGCTTCGGTCTTGGATGATGTAGTCGCTGGGACAGCTCGAGGCTCGAGAAGTGCCTTAGCAGTGCTTCTGGGCTTTCCAGGCTAAGCACTGTTGTGGATGCGGACAACCACTGAATGCATCAGACAGGATCGGAAGAGTTGATTCCGCTCACTCCCAGAGGTAGTGGAAATGGCTTCCAACAACAAAACCTTCGGCCCTCTTTTGGGGTTTGCATGATTGCACGCTTCAACGAACAGGTCGCAAGCGGCGCCTCTCCAGTGAAGGAGTCCTGAGGCAAACTGGGATTTTGTCCTCTGCACGTGCGCTTCTTGTCATGCTGAACATGCTGGTGCATTCATGGTCCTGTCCATCGCGACTTCCACCCATGTCAACTTGACGAGCATAGAGGCAGAACACCCACATGACAATCAGCAGAGTTTTGAATCTGTATGACCTGTTTCGCCCCGCCGAAAGCTCGGACCCTACATTTACAGAGCCAAGGCAAGGCCGCCCGAAAAGCGGTCGGCTCTACCTGTAATACGCCATTCAGTTTCTGCGACGCGGCTTGTCGTGCAGGGGCCAGAAGCGCGGCAAGTACCAACTCGAGCTCACAGATGGTTCCAACCTCGGGTCGTGGGATTTTGAGGCTACTAACATGCGTGCAGGGAAGGACTGAAACGCACATCCGGGCCATGTGCAACTGGGGTTTCGCTATTGCTGCTGTGATGAAACGACCGCATACGGCCATTTCATTCATGTCGTTATATATGCGTTGACACCCATATCCGGACCATGTGCTTGCTATTGTGATGAAACGAGGTGAGGTGAGTGCAAAATAGGCACGAACACCTGCGGCACGCGGCCGTTCTACTCATTTCGTTACATAAGTTGAAACCGTGCACACCTCCCGGCCGTGTGCACATGGGGTTTTCGCTATTGCTGATGTGACTAAACGCGGGTGATGCGACTAAACACGGATCGGGGCGTGCACTTGGCGTGTTGTGATTAATCGCGCCCTGAGGCGACTTAACCCCGCAGTCAACCCCGCTACACGATGCTACACGTACAGAGGTCTTGGGGGTAGTAGTGGCCTGCTTGTATGGAAAAATCCTGGAGGCTGCAATGCTAACGATATATTTTTTGTTTGCCAACCTTGGACCTGCGGCTTTGAGTTGCTTTCGGTGCAAAGGTTCCGGAATTCTCGAAGTCACCGTCCATCAGATCCAGCCGCTGCTGGCACTGAAGCAGGCCACATCCGGGAGCCACAACATTTGCTGCACTCATGCACAACAGGATCCTCTTAGAGGGATCGTATTCCTCCATGGCCCGTGGATATGGGACAAACAGCCAGGGTGTTGATTTGTCGGCAATCAGTTCTAGCATCTCCAAAGCATAAAGATCCTAAGTGCAGTCATACACACCAACTCGTCAAACCTGCAGCCCAAAACCCATGAACCTGAGGCATCCGAAATGCAAAGCCCCAGCAACCCAACGACCTACAAACCATCGGCCGACCTTGAACCCCAAGCCCCTACTATGGAGGTCTGCATAATTTGACAAAACTATCCTTTGACAAAATTATCCCTTTATACATTGCGGGGTCCTGGTGGAGTGTGGCAAACGACCTGAAGACGCATCCGTGCTGTGAAGGCGCATTCGTCAAAAAGAATTCCTAATAGCGCAGACACATTATAGCAGGCGCAAACGCACTCTGAAGACGCATTGGAAGGCGCAGACGCATTGCGTGGCGCAGACGCATTGGGTGGTGCAGACGCATTGAGTGGCGCAGAGGCATTGAGTGGCGCAGACGCATTGCGAAGACACATCGGATAGGCGCAGACGCATTGCGAAGACGCATATTGGACGAATTGCGAAAGCGTATTGGGGTAGCGAAAACGGCTTCAAAAGACACATTGCGAGGCTACGGCCCATGCAGGTAGGTGCAGACGCATTGCGAAGCGCTTTCACATGCTTTCACGACATAACGGCCACGAACAGAATGCGAATAGAGGTTCACACGCATGACTCACATGACATTTGATTGAGCGTGTCGCAAGAGAACTGATGTTGAAATCATGGGCTTCCAAGACTCCATCCTGGGAGATCCAAGTGTATAAGCGTTTGCATTGTGAGATAGTGCGCACCCAACAGTCCATTGGTTGTTGGGCCAACAGGACCAAAGCAACCCACCCCCCAACTCCGTCTCCATGCGTGCTCCTTATCGAGAGGAGGAGCACGTATGGAAATGGCTCAATCTGTATTCGGTCAGAAGTACTGTAGGCGTCCTCATTAGAGGTTGGTTAGAGCCCACATTGCGCGCGGAAAGGCCATCAGTCCAAGGCTCCACCCTCGGACTTCAAGCTTTAGAGTTCTGAGTTAAAAGTTAGGGGCGCCCCATCAGTTCATGGCTCCATCCTCGGAGTTTAAGGTCCGTACGAGTTCTGATTTAGAAATCGGGGGCACCCCATCAGTCCAAGGCTCCACCCGAGTTCGAGGGTTTCCAGAGTCCTGATTTTGAGATGAACAGCGCCCCACCCGTCCAAGGCTTTATCCCCGGACGTTCAAGGTTTGTAAGAGTCTTGGTTTTAAAAAACAGGGGCGCCCCATCTGTCCAAGGCTCCACCCTCGGAGTTCAAGATTTGTAAAAGAAACAAAGGTCAGGGGCGCCCCATCAGTTCAAGGCTACATCCTCGGAGTTCAAATTTCGTAAGAGTTGTGATTTCAAAATCAGGGGCGCCCCATCAGTCCAAGGCTCCACCCTCGACGTTCAAGGGTTGTAAGAGTTCTTTTTTTAGAAATCAGGGGAGCCCAATCAGTCCAAGGCTTCACTCGGAGTTCATGGTTTGCAAGAGTTCTGATTTAAAAGACAGGGGCGCCCCATCAGTCCAGGGAACAACCCTCGGAATTCAAGCTTTGTAAGAGTTTGCTTCGACAATCAGGGGCGCTTCATCAGTCCAAGGTTCCTCCCCGGAGTTCGAGCTTTGTATGAGTTCTGACTTGGCGCCCCATCAGTCCAAGGAATCTGACCCCATCAGTCCAAGGCTCCATCCTCGGAGTTCAAGGTTTGTAAGGTTCGCAAGAGTTCTGATTTCAAGATCCGGCGCGTCCCATCAGCCCAAGGCTCCACCCTCGGAGTTCAATTCTTGTAAGAGTCCTGATTTGAAAAAACAGGGGCGCCCCATCAGTCCAAGGCTCCACCCTTGGAGTTCAAGGGATTCAAAAGTTTTGAGGGTTTCAAGAGTTCTGATTTTAAGATCAGTGGCGGCCGCGGTGTTTCTGTGCGTTGTCAGCACAGTGTCGCACCTGCGTGTGCACGTTAAGATCAGGGCCTGGGCTGTGGCATCAGCTCCAAAGGCCTCGACTAATGAATTCGGCGTCACCACCTAATGTGGCGTCAGCCATTTGGCGTCACCACTTAATGCAGCATCAGCAATTCGGCATCGCCACCTAATGTGGCGTCAGCAATTCGGCGTCACCACCCAATGGGGCGTCAGGAGACAATTCGGCGTCAGACAATGTGGCGTCACAATTCGGCGTCGCCTATAAAGCAATGCAGCTTCAGGAATTCGGATTGGGCGTCAGGTCGTTCGCCACACTCCCCCAGGCGCCCGCCCTATAGGCTTCCTTAAGGCGTACCCCAAACTCCCATGTTAAATCAAGGCCCCTGTTTATTTGCCCCAACCCCGTGCTCAGTGAGGCCGAGCGCATTGAAGCCTCGGGGGTTCTGGGCGATGGGCCTTCGGCGTGAGGCCCCGCAGGGCTTTTTAGGACTTGAGGATTCGGAGGGCTTGCTTATTTCTAGCTGCATGCCACATCCCAAAATCCCAATCTACTTGCTTCGGACCCTGTAGCTTCAGGTCCGCCAGCTGATGGTTTTTTGCTGGCAAGCATTTAGCAAAGTAACTCAGAAATGGAGGCGGCACATGTACCGGTTAGTGCAGCCAGGCCTCCTGTGGAGTTTCGGTCCACGGATTTGTGGGGTTGGGTTCAAGCCGTCAACCCTAAACCGTGGATCAAGCGGCTTGAGGTTCGCAGAATGCAGGCATGGTTGAAGCGGCGACCTTTGGATAATGACCTTTGGTGTCGCACTTCGCACCTCAGGATGTTGCGCCCTAGGGACATCCAAACGACAGGCCGGCAAGCCCTTGAACCAGATCCCAACCGTAGTGTAATACATTATCATTAAAATATAAAATGATATAATACAACATGTTATAGCAAAGTATGTCGTAACATAATAAAACATGATATCATATAAGATTTTCTTCTTAACATATGATAATGTAACAGAACAAAATATAGCATAGTATAATATTTACTAAATTGGAGTATGATCTTTTACTGCATGCTGTGATGGTCCATGATTCTGTTTGCTAGTCCCTCTTGGCCAGACGAACCCGTCAAGATCTTACGAATCTTATCCTTGGTATACAGCCTGTTGGCATGTGGAGCAGGTTGATGTTCATGAAAAAACTCCCGTTTGGAATTTCCCTGCACTTGGCCCTGGCAGGCTCCGGCTGTTATCTCCCCCTGGATCGGATTGACAAGGAGGGTTTCGGATAAGCATGTCTCAAAGACGCGTTCAGGCATGAGTTGGGGCCTCTGCTGTTCCATCAGTTACTTCCTCGCAGTCGTTTATCTCGGCGGCAAATGTTCGCATTTCCGAGTCGCACACACTGCGATGGCGAGGACTTTCAAGCGAGAGGCGGGCCGAGGTCTTACGAGCAGAAGCTTAGTTAGAATTTGTTTAGACTTCTGCTCGGGGTGTTTCCCTGCAGTCTTGGCCCTCGTGCCTTGGTTGTATAGCAGGTAGGGGAGTTTGTTCGAGAGGACGGGTGCCCGAATCATCATCTGAAGCCCTCGCAACATACCCGAAGCCCCCACGCCAAGAACACCACTAAATGACACGGGAACCCCGAACTTCAGATGATTCTCTGTTTCACGTCGGTCCTTTGCTTTCCCAAGAGCTCAGCCAGGATTCAGATTCAAGTCTGGTAATACCAGAATCTGCCCACATCGTAAGCTCGAGGGGCTGGAAAGCTTCTAGCTATGGAGAGGTGCTAAAAGTTGAAAAACCACGGAGAGGCTCAAACACCATCGATCCTGTTTCCACATTTGGCCAGAAGTGCCATGGCTTCACAAGCTCTGCAGAAGTCCGACACGAAGGGGGAAATGAACGCTAGCCCCAAGGGTCTGAAACTGCCGAGATGTCTCGGCAAGACATGTCTGACCTCTTCGAACGTCTATGCACCCGAAACGGACATGTTTTGCTCCAGCATAAAGTCTGGGACCCTTGGGGTGAGCCATGCGCGTGCAAAACGCACTTGGCTAGCTTGGACGCAGCGAAAACAGCATCCTCGACGCGGCTGCCTTGCTTGCTGCTTGAGGGAGTCGGCATACTTGTTGACATACGTACTCTTTGCTTAGGTACCTCCGGTGCCAATCCGTTCAGTGTGTGGCTTGTCCAGACATTACGCCGAACTCTGTGAGCTAAAGCTGAAAGACTTGACACTCGGTTATTCATTACACTCACCTGTAGCCTGGAGTATGGCTGTGTCCCCAGCTGGCTTTGTACAGACCGTGATAACAAGGGTCAACAAGTTCCGATGTAGTCGTTGGTTCGCTATTCTGGAGTTCCACAGACTCCGAGGCCACATCCCCATGGATCGACTTGTTTTGTTTATGTCATGTAGAAGTGATCTGCGCAGGTAGTGACAGGTAGTGCCCAAGAATTATCTGTGCAGACCTCCGTTTTCTGCTTTCCTTTACCAACTGACCCCCGCGCAGCTCCTGCCATCGCTGGCGGGATGGTGGCGGGACCGACGTACCATTTGCAGGGCCGCAGGTCCGCCAGCTGTTGCCGTTCCGTTCTCCTTGTTACAGCGACTACTCTGATTTGTCGGCTTTGCTGCCATCAGCGCTCCGTTTTCGGGCTGTTGTTAGCTATGTCATGCATCTGGTGTGTGATGGCTTCTATGCTATTGTGATGTCGGCGTTTCACACGACTCAGGGTCAGATGGGTTGCGAAGACATGTGCATGTTCATAGAGACTGTTTCCAATAGCCGGCACGGCGGTGTATGCTCTCTGCTGCGGTGGTCCCGTACTTAAACCTAGCAGACTCTACACCGTTCTCTGCGACATTGGTGCCCTTATCTGCACCCAAGTCCCAACACCTGGAGTCGCAGGAGCATGCCGGAGCTTCGTAACCGTTTTGGAAGGAGGGAGAGCGAGAGTTCGCATGCTTCAACCCAGATACACAGCAGGAACTGATGGGGGCGGGTTCATGGGATCGAGTTCCTTGTTCAAATCCATGGCATCCGCATCTCAAGTGGGGAGAGCTGTCACAGTCGCACATGCACTCTCACCAGAGCAGGAAGAGTGCTCAACCTGGTTCAACCGCCTGCAACCGTCGGACTTTCACTTGTCATGCTGCATGCTTTGGGGCACAGGAACATTGCAGTCGTGTGTTGAGGAATCGTGCATCGTGACCAGGTGAACAGAGAATCCGTGCCAACAGAGTGACGCGATATTGTTTTGTGTCGGCACTGCGCAAGATTGCCGAAGCATCCATAAGCCCGTAGCCAACAGCGTTTGCCTTCATGCTGTATTGAACTGCCCAAGGGAGCCGACCTTTCTGCTGTGTGGCAAAAACCGTTCTGTCATGCATGGTTTGTGCTGACGGCAGGCATTCCCATCTGCAACGGCCCGGAGACGATCGCTGCTGCTGCACAGTCGGCCTTGGATGTGATTTACTCGAGACAGCTGCAGAAGGTTCACCTTGGGGGTGGCAGGGTGATGGGGTGAGGGGCAGATCCGAAGATTTCTCAGGGGTGAGGCTGGCATTCTATTCATGGCTTTTGTTCGTGTTATTAGAGTCTGACATGGGTAGGAGTTTAACGGTTTTCAGCATCCACCGCGTTCGGGAACCTATCACTCATGTCAAGCCTCATGCTAGGAGTTCATGATTACAAAAACGGCGTCCATGCGCCGTATCGGACCTCATTCGTTTTGCATGTTTCGTTGAATTCCTGCAAGACTCGAGCGTGTGCTTGCACAACGCTGCAGGATTCGAGGCTTGCTAGAACAGCCCATGTTGTGAGCCGGCCAGGTCATCCCAAGCAAAGGGCTCAGACCAAAGAGTCTCCACACCAGACCATAGTCTCAATGCGAAGCTCGAGCCACTGCAAGGCCTACGGATCCAGACATATTCAGATCGGTTCCCTGGATATACACGAACCCTTTTGCCCAACTCCCAGGTGAGCCTTGTCTCTTTAAGCCCCGAGCCCTGGCCTCTTCAGGACTCGCAGATTCGCTGGGCCAGCACGGGCTGCAGGCCTGTCATAGTGCCGCTCTTGTGTTAAGGGTGCCTCGAGGGATTCAGAACTTCATACTTATATGGCATCCAGGGGATGCGGGTTCATTCTTTGGGATGTCCATTGATGTCAATAGTTGTCGCCGTCGCGTAGCAGCATTGGTCGTAGTAGTAGTCGTCGTCGTTCTTCTTGAGCGTGCCAGGCCGGATCTTGGCGCCACTTCTTTGGCTCTCGTCGACGCCCAGGAGGAAGCCGTTGAGGCACCAAGATTGTTTCGACTGCAGTGCCGCACGCACGTTGTGAGTTGCGGCTCCTACCAGCGGCCGTTGTCATGATGATGACGACGGTGATCACCATGTTCGCCTTCAGTGCTAGTGCCGTTCTCACTCTCCCCATCATCAGCAGCACCATCGCCACATTCTTAGTCAACAAGAGCTGCCGTTAATAAGGAAAACACCACCTCCTATCACTACCACTACCACTAACACTACCA